CAAACAAACAAACCAAAGTCAACCAACCAGCCCAAACCCCCGAAATCAAAACCAACCAACCAAAAAAAAAAAATCAAAAATATTTTATAATCAGATATCTTGGATTTTTACACCACCTTACCTGTAAATTATATATACATAGAATATTGCAGAATTATATCTAATACACAATATTTTCACTATTAATGCTGGTATAATCTTTATACACTGGCCCTTATGTTTCTTTTTATTTTTTTAATTAAATTATTGCATTGTATAAACTTTGACTGCAAACGGCCCCCCCCTCCCCCGCCTCCCACCTCCCTCCCTCGCCTCCCCCCACCCCCCCTTTCCCTTGGCTATTCACTGTCCGACTTGCCGTCTTTCGCCGTGGTGGAGTGGTTGTAGAGCCCCTGGGCCATGAGGTGCACTGCCAGGGAGTTTTTGCTGCCCGTCGCCTTCTTGATCTTGGCTCGTTTATTCTGGAACCAGATTTTGATCTGGGACTCGTTGAGCCCGAGCTCCTGGGCCAGGCTCTGCCGCCGCTGCTCCGTCAGGTACCGGTTCGTCTGGAACTCGGCCTTGAGTCTCTGCAGCTGCTCGGCGGTGAAGGCGGTGCGCGGCCGCTTGTCCTCCTTGTTGGGGTTCTTCTTCTTTGGTTTGCGGGAGCGGGGACCTACGGCCGGGAGAGAGGAGAAGCACCGACACCGCCACGCTCCGCTGCGGGCGGCCCCACGCCAGGCGCGGTCCCCCGTGGGGGGCACCCACGCTCCGACAACACCAACACCACCACCACCCCCTAAGAAAAATAAACCCGCTTTGTCCCTCCGCTGCCAGGGGGATGCTCTGGAGGCGATGGAAGGGGAGCCGCAGCCCCCGGTGCCCCCGCAGCCTCCCGCGCCCCCGATCGCTGCGCGGCAGCTCCCCCTCACCCCCCCACCGCGTCCCCTTCCCCCCCAGCCACAAACACAGTTACCGACCCTCTGCATCCCGGGGATGCCCGGTGAGGAAAGCCTGCAGCAGGAGCAGCGGCACGGAGCTAAATTTTATGTCCCGAACATATATAATTTTTTTTAGTTTTTTAAGAAAAATATCTTTACTTTTTTTACTTTTTTTTTTTTTTTTTTTTTTTTTTTTTTTTTTTTTTTTTTTTTTTTTTTTTTTTGGTGGGGTGTGATATAAATTCTAATGGAAATCCTCCTCCTCTAGTTTACTTGGGGAGAAGCATTCCGCCTCTCCGCTGCAGTGCCCATATGGCGCTGCACGGCCCGATCCGAATCGCCGGGATTATTCTCGGGAATATTATTCTCGGCAGCACAAGGAGCCTTTTCTGCCCGGGCCGAGCCATTGTGAGGATGTATGTTAATTAAATATTAACAAAGGAGAGCACTGGAGAACAATGGAGTAAATTCCAATTCAGCTCTGAATATTACCTCTGAGCAAGAGTTTGTTTTCAGACATTACGAACTAATTTTCATCTCGTTTTACGATCCCTCCTTCAGCTGGCCGGCTCCCGGGTGAAAATCCTACCTCGCTGCTTTTGTAAGAGAAAGATCCATAATTTTTTTTCTTTTCCCTGGGAGCAGATCTCTTGTCTGGTGTTTCCCATGCCTTCCCCCAATGCTTTCTACTTCTTTTTAACCAGGGCTTTACCGATCTGCCGGGACCAGCCCCGCTGTCCCTGCGGTAGCAGAAGGACATTTTACCCCCCGGCTTTATTTTTTAAATTTTCTTTCTTTCTTTTATTTTTTCTTTTTTTAACGATAATTTCGGGAGGTTTTGCCCAAGCCCTTGCCGAGGGACGGACCCTGCCAAAGAAGTTCCTTGGCTCTTGGCAACGTCCCCCGGCCCCCACAGAACTGACCTACAGCACTTGGGGGGACATTAAAAGAAAGAAACGAAACGCCGGCCGCTCCGAGGCCTCTTTTAGAGAAATAAACTACCGCGGATTGTTTTGGGTGAAAAAAGACTAATCAAAACAAGGCGAGGCCTGTGGAAATGCCCCCTCCCCTTTCCAAAACACAGCGCGGGATGGGGGGAGGTTCCCGGCAGGGAGAAGGAGAGCTCTCCAGGAGGATGAACGGGGAGCCAAAGACAGATTTTTTTCCTCCCTCTTTGATAAAACTCGGCAGTTGGTGGGAAATGCCCCGAGCCCAGGCGGCTCCAGCTCCGCTGTCGCGGCGGGGAGGGAGGAACCCCCGTTCCCTCCTCGTCCCTCCGGCTCCGCGCACCCCAGGCCGCCCCTTCATCTTCCCGCATTTTCAGGCCATTTTAAGAAACTCCCTCCCCCATCCACTCCCCTCAAAAAAAAAAAAAAAAAAAAAAAAAAAAAAAAAAAAAAAAAAGACGGAGCGGGAAAGCGGAGCAGGGTCTTTTCTACGCCTCTTCCCAGCCTCGAGGGCGGCCGGAGGCGGCCCAGGGAGCCTGGGGACGGGGATGCGGCGGTGGGGGAGCGGGGCCGCGGCGGGGCAGCGCTTACCTGAGGAGGGCCGGTCCGAGTACCGCGTGCAGTACACCCAGGCGGGCCACAGCATGGGCTGGTTCCCGGCGTTCGAGCTGGCCTGGGAGCTATCCGAGTCCGAGCTCACCGACAGGTCGCCGCCGCTCAGCCCCCGCGCCTTCAGGGCCGCCTCCAGCGCCGCGGGGTCCCCCCCCTTCTTGGCGGCGCCGTGCAGGGCCAGCCCGGCGGGGCCGCCCTCCCCCCGGCCCGGCGAGCCCGCCCCGCCGCCGGGCAGCGCAGCCCCGGGGGCCGGCGCCGCGGCGGGGCTGCGGCGGCTCTCTGAGCCGGGCCGCCGGGGCTCCGCGCCGGGGCCGCTCGCCTCCTTCCTCCGCCCGAACTCGGGCCGCAGGATGTTGTCGATGAAGAAGTTGGTGATGCGATGCGGGTGCGGATGGGGGTGCGGGGGGTCACCGGGGGGGAGCAGCAGCCCCCGCCGCCCGCCACCGCCGCCGGGCTCCGCGTCGCCGCCAGACTCCTGCGGCTCGGCCGCCTCCTCCCGGGGGCTCCGGCCGCCCTCCTCCATGCTGCGCGGCCGCCCCGCCGACGGCTCCGCTGCCCGCCCGCCGCCGGCCGGGCGCTGCCGAGCGCTGTCTCTGTTGTTGCTGCTGCAGTCGGTTGTTCTTTATTTATTTTTTTTAATATATATATTTATATATATATATATATACACAACGCACGCACAGGTGTCTATTTGCTTTCGTTTCTCCTGGCTTCGCCGGGCATTCAAAATCCAGAGTTTGAAAAAAAAAAAAAAATTAAAAATTAAGAGTCATTAAAAAAAAAAAAAAAAAAGAGAGAGAGACAAATGCAAGGAGATCCCCTGCCCAAGCCAGCAGCCGAGCCTCCACCACTTCCAACTTCGCCAAAAAATGAAAACACAGAGAGGAGGCTCTGGTCCTCCCGTCGCCGCTCCGCCGCCGCTCAGCCGCTCGGTCCCGCGGCGCGCTGCTGCCTGCTCCCCCGGCCGCCGCTGCCGCCGCCGCGCCTCATCCGCGGAGGAAAAAAAATTAGTGGTAATAAAAATAATAATAATTGAGGGGCGGAAGGGGGTTGGTGGTGATCGGGGGGTGGGGGTGGTGGGTTGGGGGTGCGCAAAGAAAAAAAAAAAAAAAAAAAAAAAAACGAAGCGCCGGTGTCGGGGCGGGGTGTAGGCGGGCTCTCAGCAGCCGGTGTCCCGCGGAGGGCAGGGCGGTGAGGGGCGCCCCGCGGGGCTCCGGCCGGCAGCGCCTCGCCCCGCGCCGCCCCGCGCCCGCACATGCGGGGGCCGCCGC